AGAAAGCGAGAGAAACGGTCCAAGACTCGCGAAATACAGATGGCCGGACGGTGCCCCCATGACGACCGCTTGCAGCAGCTCTTGTAACGAAATTCCTGCCAGGCGTAGCCGAAAGTTGGGTCGCGACGTCGAGTGGTGGCCGTCGCGGGCCCCAGCCGCCGTCTTCGTTCGCTCGCCTTCCTCGCCGCAGTGCAAAACACAGAGCGGTGAGGAAGCGCGCGCCGCGATAACACTCGTGCCTTCTCCTCCGCACGGAGTTGCCACTTCCGCGACAGACCGGCAGCAGCAGCCAACGCACGTGCACCTCCAATAGCCACCGTGCATAAACAAGGCGTGGACCTGAGCAAGCTGAGCGGCGGCGCGACCGGCGGTGGCAGCCGATAGCATCGTCCGCTCCCGCCGCCGGCCACCCGCGAGCACGGGTGCACCGCCGTCCTTGAAGCTGGCCCACGCGCCCGGTGAAGCGACGCGTAGACACGCCGCGGCCGTCGCAACGACGCCTCTTGGTGCTTACCGGCGACGACGAACCTCGCTTTCGGATGGCCTACTGTTCGGCACTGGTGGTGAGTACGCCAGCGGCATACGTCCGTTTCGAAAGGGGCGCGCGACACACATGGGGACTTGATTCATCCGCGTCTTTTGTTAGGCGCGCGCGCGCCCAGCTTCGCCGTTTTCGCGCGCTGCTGTGGCGGCCGCTTTGATTGAAGCCGCATTTGCAGCGTGATGAGCAGCTTTTGTTTTGGTGCCGCTCCACTGGAACGTTGTAGCACTGGTATCCGTAGAGGTTGCGAAGTTTTGTCTGCTTACACACAGTACGCAATTGTAGGCCGCTCAGTAAAGAGGTGAACAGTGACAATGGAGATGTCGCTCGCTGTTCTGTACAGCGGTAGTCTCCTCGTATGCGCTCTGCATGCTCTCTAGTTTGAAATTCAAATAATTTTCAGTGGATTAGCCACGCAATGGCATTTGTTACTTGCAAGCTTCATGCACACTGCTTTTATTCTGCGTTTTTCGCTAGCAAGATCTCGTTTTCTTTTTCAATATTTTCTTCTTTTTTTTTATTCTGCGAAAAATACGTTATATCGGTGTGTTCAAGAAAGTAACGCGGTGATTGTTTGAGCCAGGGAGAACGCCGCACACAATTAAAATTCGAAGGCCTCCTGGGTTGAAATGTCTCTGATCACCGTCAAGAAATTCACATAATATGTGAGTGCGGCGATTCGGCCGGTAGACGAATTCTTATTTACCAAAAACAGATTATACAGCTGGTTAAGGGTTAAGCACCAGCATACAGTGAGGATTATTCCTTCGGGTAGACGCTATCTGTACTAATAAAGCAGGTCATTCAACCCGTGATCATTATCTTGTTTCAAGCCAATGAAGCCGCAAGGTGTAGAAAAAAAAATGCTTTTCATTTACACATTACCCGCTCTTGGATCCGAGTCAAAATCTGAGGGCAGCGCCGGCTCAGTTGGCTGTACTTGAGCATGTGTGCTTACTGAGTTTGTGCATGCGTAAGATTAGAGACAAGACAGCGCGATCGTTTTCTTTCATATAATATGTGTGTATATGCTTAAAGAACCCCAGGTGGTCGAAATTTCCGGAGCCCTTCCCTACGGCATCTTTCATAATCATGTGGTAGTTTTGGGACGTTAAACTCTACATATCAATCAATCAATCAGCGTATATATGCTTCGCTGATGGTTAAGCGCAAAAGGTATAACAAGCCTGCGTTTTCCACAGCAGCTGAGAAGTGTCAACCTCAAAACTGACCCTGCAAAAGAAGTTGTTTCGTTTCCTAAATATTCTAAAGATTAAAAAAGCCCATTCTGCGCAACATTACTTGTGCTCTCATTAATGCACTTTTGAATCAGCGCCGTTCTTCGATAAGTACGGTCAGTCGTAAGCAATTTTCTTTCGCCTATTGATCCATACTATTAACGACGCGATTTTCAGCAGTGATTACTCTGGAACCCACTACAATTACCTTTTAATGGCCAAAAATTTCACAGGTTTCGTACAAGACCAGAACGTTCGCTTTTTGCTTCTTTCTGAAAAATGTACTACCTGTGTAGTTTTTACTATTATTTTCTCTCCAACCTTTAGTTGATTTATTGATTGATTGATATGTGGGGTTTACCGTACCAAAACAACAAAATGATAATGAGAGACGCCGTAGTGGAGGGCTCCGGAAATTTCGACCACCATGGGTTCTTTAACATGCACCCAAATCTGCGCACATGATCAAACCTATGCTTGATGCAACGCACTGAACGTAATCGTTTGTGTGATATCTTTACGTAGTTTTTTTTTATCACAAATTTCATGCGTTGCCATTGCTGGTCGTGCAAATAATTGTGATCATCCTACACTGAAGGTCACGACGCAGTTTTTGTTTTTATCTGTACGTGACCCCTTCGGAGTAAAGATCACTTGCGATTCTCGCTGTTTGAGCGACATGAATCAGCCAACTCTGATTCCCTATATATAGGCGATATGTTCTATTGTGCAAAGCTACCGCCCAATTTACAAGCATTCTTAGTTGTGTTTTTTTTTCTTTTTTATTGGCAAGCCAGCTGATACAGCTTCGATAATGATATGTCCAGCAGTTAGTTTTTTCTCTTTCGGGCAATAATAGCGCGAGATGTTTTCGTCAGTGCACTAATGCCCTCATATTGCGCCCTAAGAAACGTGCCATACTGCACCATACTGATTCCCTGACTAATGTGCCAACAAGTTAAATCGCAAATTCATACACAATGGGCCATCGAAAATAAGCTACGCTTAAAGCGGTGAATTGCAGTTTCCGAAAGGGCTAATTAAGAAAAAAGGGAGCGAGCGGGTAGAAATTGAGATGGACTCGTTTAGTGTCATACCGCTTCCTTTCTTGGTTCAACCCTTGCCCTGCCATCATCGACAGCTCCGCATCAGCCAACGGAAAACAATTCTCTAGCTAGATAAACTACAAGTAAAGGCTTATGACGTCGTCGCCCACAACTGCGCTGCGACAGCGGCACGGCTTTCGTTATGTGCCGCTTATGTTTCGCTTTAGTGATGACCATTTCTGCTGTCGTTGTTTCTGCCGATCTGCACATTCACGATTGCTGCCTTTCCGCTACTTGAGTGCTATTCTTGAATGTTTCGGTTCCCTCCTCTCCCTCTCTGTCCCTATTTCCGTCAACGCAATTTTTACGATATCCATTTGTCCGTAGTTTAGTGCCACGTTTGCTGGCTCGTCCGCCTGTCCTTTAACGTCTTTCTGGTTTGATGGGACCCGCTCAAGCAAGGAGTGCACGCCCAGCCAACGTGCGCAAAAGAAGAGATGTGAAATGGAATGGACGTTCGCCAGGCTGCCTACGTGCCATAGCGGCTCCGCGCGGCCGCAGCCACCACTGCCTCATCCAGCCCTTCTTTGCAGCGTCGTTTCGAGAGCATATCGCGCGTCCGGCGAGTGCGAGGAAGCGGTCGCCATACAGGAGGCGCAACTGCAGTGCGGTCCACTCGCCAATCTACATTCCTTACGGGAGCAGTTTTACGGCGGCTTTGAGTCCTTTGAATAGCAGGGCGTCTTGCGGCAGAAACGCCCTGCGACTCAAATCGGGCGGACTGACGACTTATTTCCTGCTCGTCCAGTTGTTACGGGGTTAAAAGGGTAAAAAAAAAAGAAAGAAAAGGAACTACGCAGTGACAGTTAAATAGCATTGACTCACTGCGCTCACAGTCGACGATTCTGTACGTGGTTTCCGTGGTGTATCTGGTATCATTTTATCTAGATATTTGTTTGTTTGTTCCCAGTAACAGTAACTGGAAATCATGTCGCCCATATCTGGGTTGTCCATCTATGCTTACCGTTCTACTACGAAAACTTCCGAGCTGTTACCTTTTTCGGCGGACAACTAATTGTAGCTTTAACGTCTTATCTGCATGTTGCACAGGAAAGAGATTACTGAAACGGGCGTCTGAATATCGTGCCTACATTCAAAGTTGGTCGACATTCAGGGTGCACACATCTATTTAAATGTTCAGCTGTCAAATTATTGCTCGTTCAGTGTCGGTATACATGAGCTAATGAATGTGGTTCCCTACTCATTGCGTGGAGAACCCAAATTTAGGAAATAGTTAAACTAGATGAAGTTGAAATGAGACATCTTCTTATCTATCTTGGAGGCACTCGAAATGTACTCACTGCAATTTCACTCAATTAGGCTGTTGTGTTAAACGTTCTACTCGAAGTTAGTTTGCCTGCCTGCTGCGGGCACCGCGTCTGTAGAGGAAGCCGAGGCACTGCAGATGGAGGCCGTGGGCTGTATTTTTAAGAGCGATTTCAGCTACATGGCGAAATTGTGAATGAATCGGGCCCGACGTGGCGAAACCTTGATGAGCACTTTAAGCATACAGTTTTCAACCTATATAGAACTAGACTTAATTGTCGATCTCATTTCAGTTTGATATTGCATGTCGTTGCGAGATGTCGCTTACATACAATGACAGCATGCGTTGTGGGAGGAGTAGCTGATTAATCAACTGTAACTTTTTCTCGCAAACAGCGTGAAATGAACATATCGTCAGTGCCATATTGCGTTGAATTGAGCTCTTGCGCATGACACACAGCAATGGTATGCTTGCTATTGGCGGCTGGAGTATGTCCAGAAATTGCTTTCCGAGAAGTTCAACGACCCTCCCTTTGTGTGTGTCGCATGTATTCGTATGTGCGTGTGTGTATCTATGCGTGAAAAATGTAAATATTTCGGGAGGACCTCCCTTCTGGATATACCAATGATAGCCTTGGTAATGTGTAGTGATGCTCGCATCTCCAGCAGAGTGTGGTTCGTAGTCACGCGTGTAAATCTACCGCCGTTAGAGCGACGGGAACAAAGCCGCGGGATGGTTTCCCTGCCGCAGACGGGGGAGGGTCTATGTAAGAGGGCGTGTGCACAGCCTGTTGTTCGCGGAGAGTGGTTAAGACACGCAAGACAAAAGCCAGCTGTGGTCGCAGTATTGAGCATGCGGCTGACTGAGACAAACCCAGAGCGACGAAAGAACGCATCGGGTTCAAAGGCACTAGCGGTCTGAAGACGAAGCACTGGCGATGATCGCGGTGAGCTGATGTCCGCATGTGCTGCGCGAATGAGAACTTCGGCCAGTATTTGCAAGAACGTCTCACGCTGCGAAAATAGCCGTGCGTAAAAAAAAAAACATTTCAGTCAGTCGTCATGCTAGAGTAAAGAAACTGGTCAGTCCGCGACGAAAAGAATATACACTTGCTAGAAATTTTGCGAAATCAGCCCGTCGGCTCGAGTTCTCAGAATATTTTATCAGTAAGTGATTTTGGCCATTGTCTTATTTACAACATTAGTTATGTGTCCTGTATCGAGATTGGCGAACTTTTTTTCTCGCGAATAATTTTTAGCGTCTGGCGTTAATGTGAACACGGACTCTGGCTCTGATTTCGCAGCCCTTTTCTTTTGATCGAATGTGTTCTGTGCCATTGTAGTATTTGTTTGAATGGTGGTGCTAAATAGGACAAGATTGAAATCATTTAACAGGATTTGTTGACTGATGGCGACTAATGACAGCGTGGAGTATTCGGCGCTAAAGCTCTCCATTAGAGAGTTCTAGCGCCGGGTAGCCCGTGCTGCTTGCGAATGTACGCACACCCTCGCGTTAACTTGTACCTACAGCCACACCTAAGTAGAGTATAAACGATGTGTTTGTAAGACAGGAGGCAAAACAAATTAGGTTCTTTTAATTGTCGTTTGTGAATTATATATATATATATATATATATATATATATATATATAAATATATATATATATATATATATATATATATCTGAGTGTGCGCTGCGTGTGCGTATGTGTGTGTATGTGTGTGGGCGTGCGTGCGTGCGTGCGTGTGCGTGCGCGCGTGCGTGTGTATGTGTGTGGGCGTGCGTGCGTGCGTGCGTGTGCGTGCGCGCGTGCGTGTGTGTGTGTGTGTGTGTGTGTGTGTGTGTGTGTGTGTGTGTGTGTGTGTGTGTGTGTGTGTTAACACTCGTCAAGAGCTTCCAGCCATCTGTATCAGCTGCCTTTTTCCGCAGAAATATCCAATTACCGACTCCGCAATTATACGCAACATAGTCATACTGCCTGCTAAGTCCTTCTGATATAACTAAATCGTAAATGAATGCTTGTAGCTATCGTGAGGTATACTAGCTGCGGACAACAGTGTCTACAGTCAGGCACTCCAATGCTCTTTAGAAAAGTGCGATTCTGTCTCTACGCACTCGTTTTTTTTTTATTATTCGGGGCAGTTCTTTTGCCTAAAACAAATCTCTTGTGTGATAGAAACTGTCGGCAGAGGTAATCAAACGAAAGAGCATCAATTTTTTTTTTTTTTGCGTACGAGTGCTATATAGAATGCAAGAAGAAAAGTGGTGGAGGTTGAGTAATATAAAAACACATGGCCCAGCGTTCAAGCGTGTTGAACGCGGAAGCCTTAGTATAATATATGAAGTTTTTTCAACGTCACTAGCGACGCTATGTGCGAGCTGCCATGGGAAAGCTGAATATGAATATGCTTGCAGTTTTTCAGGCGAAAAAAGAAAAGGAATGTGCACAGTCTCCACTCCTATGGGTATGTTGCCTAAGGCCTTTCGCTCCTGCAGAAAGGTCTGATATTTATGTAATAAGCGTGTAAAACATGCGATAGCGAATACGAAGACCTGGTAAAAAGTTTTTTTTTTTTGACGAATAAGCATTTATATAAAGTTCACCCTCATTAGAAAGGCTACCACATCTCTCATTTCCACCACTTATGATGTCTGTTTTTTATTTTATTTTTATGACTAGTATTCGAAAAAGGTCATTATGTATTTCACTGAGCCTGGTTTAAAAAAACGGTCGAATTTTAATTCGTCTAGTTCTCGGGCTACGGCTGAAAATGGAGATATTCAGTTGCCATTCTACTGCGTGTAAAAGTTTGCTTTTATTTTTTATTTTCTCGTCTAATCACTACGAGGCGTATTACTCTGGTCAGAAGCGTAGCAAGTATTACGCACGACATCAGTGTTCCGAAAATTAGGTGCGATAATGTGCCGCTGTTTTTTAGGTGGAGTCCTAAAGCACGTTATCACGCCCGCTTTTTAACGGGACTTTCACTTGCGGATCGCGCTTAGAGTTCGAAAAAAGCTTCGTGACATATGTGGTCAATTCTCTAAAAAAAAAACATGGGCATGGCGGTCACACTTTGTTGGTTTAGTCTTTATTTTCTAACGATGCCCTGCGGCGAAGGGCGCACGGCGGAAATCTTTCTTAATGTCCGCGATAAGTCGTTATAGTCGCGCCCTACGAAAACTGCGTAAAAATGACATGCCCACGTAAAGTACTTCAAATCGCTCACGAAGCAGGGCGAGGGCGACCCTCGAGGAAAGCGGTATCTTATAGATCCAGCTCCCTGTATTCTATACCGATGGCTCCCTCCAGCTGGCTATCAAGGACGCCTATCCAATAACAGTGTCTTCTCCGGAAATGGGGCATTTTGTCGTTTCTCTCGGTGTCTCTTGAAACTTCTTGTAGAAGCAGAACTATGATCGGATCATTCCTTTCTCTAGAAAGAGATATAAAAAAAAACTGAGTGTGTGACAGAGTGGGATAGTAAGAAATAAATATAGAGAAAAAAGATAGAAAATGCAAGGAAGAAAGAAATAGAAAAAACTGATGGAAAAGGCAAATACAACTGAGAGAAAAAGAAAAGATATCAGAAAAAAAATAAAGAGAAACAACTAGCTGTGATCTTTCTTCAAGCTTGGCACCACTATAGTATGAAGTTAACGTAACATTTTTTTGTGTGTGCGCGCTTCATTTCTTGGTTTGCTGAGTGAGTGGGTAATGCATCTTCACTCAATCAGCGCGGAAAATGGCTGAAGTGCTGAAAATAATTGATTGATATGAGGGGTTTAACGCCCCAAAACTACCGTATGATTATGAGAGACGCCGTAGTGGAGGGCTCCGGAAATCTCGACCACCTGGGACTTCTTTAACGTGCACCCATATCTGAGCACACTGGCATACAACATTTTCGCCTCCATCGGAAATGCAGCCGCCGCAGCCGGGATTCGATCCCGCGACCTGCGGGTCAGCAGCCGAGTATCTTAGCCACTAGACCACCGCGGCGGGGCAAAAGTTGGATAATTCTAAGTTTTAGCAAATGCTGTTGTTCTGCAGAATTTTGGGCATGCAGAACAACTTCGCCGTACAAAAACGATCTTAAGCTCGCGTATAAAGCTCTCCTCTAAAGCAATGTGGACACCACAACGTGCAGCGAGTGAAATGAAGAAGGGGGCAAATATTTAACGTAGTCAACTTGGTGCCAGAACGTGTTGTTTCAATGTAAATCATTAATAAAAATTACTGAATAGGTCACTGTCGCCCACGAAGACGCATCGATGTCGAAATGCACCATATCTCGATTAGCTGCTCCCCGAGCCCTCAAAAGTTCAAAAGAGACGCCCGATTCTATTGGCAGGGGTATATGATGACTCACTGTTACCGCTATTCTCCCTATGACATTCAGAGACATACAAAGCTTTAACATCATAGGTAATGCATTCTGTCAACGTCCATAGAGAGGACGACGAGGTATTTACCAACGACTCCAGTTGGGTCAATAGTTCCTATATACGACGTTGCACCCGATGTACGAAGGGTCGACGTATAATTAGGCAACGCGAAGAAAGCTCGATTCAACCTGGAGTTTTTGGCGCTGAGATCAACGTTCAGTCGGCGATGATTTCAACAGAGGGTGTTGACCCGTGAGGATAACGAGGACAGTGCGAAGCCGGCACGATTGTTTACTTTGCGCGTGTATCAATAGGTGGCGAGGCTAGCTGTACAAGCCATATGTAAACAGAGCACGCAAATCGACAACACCCTGCGCCAGTGTGTGGCGCTCATGCATCACCGCGTCTGAAGGACGCGGCCGAGGTTTCGCTCGGGGGAGAAATTGCTGCGCCGTCACTCGCGGCGGGTGGTCGGCGCGCTTCAGCGAAATTGGTCCCACCTTCTTGTACACATGACCGCCATTACTTCAGTGTGGCCCTTTCTCTATCACTCACTTTTTCGATCCCTCGTTCCCCTTCCTACGTGTAGAGTAGCAAACTGGACATAGTACATAGTAAAGCACGCTACCTTTTCTATATTTCTTCTCTCTGTCTCTGTTTTGTGCGAACAGCAATAAAATATAGGAGACGCGGTGATTAGCACGGAGTGCGTGTGTGTACGGCAGACATGAGGAGGGCTCTCGTTTTTCTTCTTTTTAACGCGATAGCGTTAAAGGACTCGTTTCGCCGAAATTCCCGTGGTGTAGATGTCCGTGTCAATGCCGGCGTCGTTGGTTGTGCGCGAAAAATCGTCATCTTCTGCTTCACCTAAAAATCGAGAAACATGCAAAAAAGTAAAATAAAATAAAAAATTCTGAGTGAGGACCGAGCCCGGTCAGTTTGCGTAGCAAGCAAGTGTTCTACCACAGAGCAACGTGTCTGCTTGGAAATGCACTAAAAACCTTTATGCTTTACAAACACACGCGTCCTGTATAGACGGTTTCGGTGTTTGTAAACAAACTGGCTCGCACTGAACGGCCTACCCCAGCAGACTTCCGGCGCGCCACTTGCGGTAATGTGTTTTCGTGGTGTTTGAGTTTGCTGCTCTATTACTTCTGGCGCATTCCTCAGGATGTATTTGGTGCCACCTCTAGCGGCTACATGATGGGGCTCGATGTAGTGCACGGCAGGTACATGCGGCCACTGCTGCAGATAACACGGCTCGCGTGGCCGACGAGCGTTGCACAAAATATCCGTCGTGGCGTTCCCCTGAGCGCAGCCCCCTCATCCGTGTTACCTCTGGTAGTGGCCACGCCTGCTGGAGAAGCTTGTCAGTGAACTGAATTGGGCCAGTTGGTTCTGCGTGTTGATGTGGATGCGCTTTGAAGACGTGGACAGATAATTGACAGCGCATACATGTGCTTTCCCTTTCCGCGTCTTCAAAGCGCACCCACATCGTCGACATGTAGGAGAAGAGTTGCCCGGTCTATAATAAAGCTGTTCAATTCAGCTTTTCGAC